TTGTGAGGTTACTGGTTTGATTTGATTTGGGAGAGCTTTGTTGTTATGTAGCATAATCGAATTTGTTCGTGAAGGTTTCATGGTGGAGAGGTTTTATTTTTGGGTTGACGTTATAGGGTTAATTCAACACATAGGGCAAATTCAACAGCGCCTGGAACATGCATTCTACATCCTTGAGATGATAATTGATCCTTCTATTAAATCACGATCTGATGGATTAGGCTTAGATTGGTTATTTGGGCCTTGGTTTAGAATGCATGTTCCAAACGCTGTTGAATTTGATGATGGTGACTACGCTAACTGATGTGGCTTATTGAATCGAATAGATATTTAGTTGGCGACAATATCGATAATGCGGGACAATGCTATCAGAGATAATAATGATGAAATTCTGCAGTTGATTTGATGATCATTGCAAGAAAGCGTACTGGTGCCAGGATAGTAGATGATGAGCTTAATAGATGACCCCAGGGTCAGACAATGTCATGTTGGGGAAGGAAGAAGCAAAGAGGACAAAGGGCATTGTTTGATTACTTGTTAGCTACATTGGTTTCACATAATGATAAAGAACGATTAAAGGACAAAGACGTTATAAGGCAATCTCTTAATGAATTATAGCAACACAAGGAAATTAAATTTAACAAAGACATAATTGTGAAATGCATCTTCCTCAGCTTAACTGTTAATACATTTATACATTTTACTGAGGAATACTTTTTATGAATTTAATTTGATAATTTTATATTACTCAATTAATTCCGACATAGTCAACGTATTCTATTCTTTTTATGTGGTCAACGTAATCATACAATCTACGTAATCTACGAATATCCTGAATGTAAAAGATATATGCTTACCTCATCGAATCTTCTGAAATAGAGGCTTTTCTTTTGTGCGACTTTTCTCGCTCATCCATTTTCCGCTCGAAGAAACACACACATATATACACACAATGAAACTACGTTCGATCGTCTTCTCACTTCTTAACCGACTTTTTTCTACAAATTACATTATTTAAAAAAAAAAAAAAAATTATTTGATTAATCTAGTTCTTTTGTTGAAATTTCATTACTCAATTTCTTTCATTTAATTTAACATTTTTGCCAATTATTAAAATTATTACTAATAGCTTTGGCAGCTTTAAAAGATAAGGTTGTATGAGATAATCATAACTGCAAAGATACCTTTTGGTGTTGCTTTTGGCGTACAAGCGTTCTTGATCTATTTCACACCAAATGCTGTACTTTTAGCAAAAAAGTGTCGTTCGTCTGAAAATTTAAAAAATTTTCTGATTTAATTTTGACTTGAATAACTGAAAAAAGATTAGGAATAATCACATATCATTGTTCAGCGCAAAGTTTTTTTTTTTTTTTAATTTCTATTATTTCTTCAACATTTATTTTTTTCTGTTTCTTAAACGTTCACACAAATCAAGAGAGCACTGACAGCTATCGTGGAATTCATTCGAATGAAAATTGTTATCGACATTATCAGTTTTATTAAAAAAAAAAAGAAGTCAATGGATGGGATGTTATATTGTGCTAACAAAAATTGATGTTTAATTCGAAAATTTTCTATACTGTTTATGGGAATAATTAAAATTATTGAACATGTTTAAATTTGTAATAGGATAACATTCATTGCATTATATTTGTATTTGTTCTTTCTGGTTCTATTAGCTCAGTAAAGGATTTTATAAAGCCTATTGATATGTCTTTAGTTTGACTTGTAAAATGAATAGGAAAAGCTTGTAAAATGAACAGGAAAAGCTTCAACTTCAACTTGTCTACCAAATTATAAATATTATAAATTCAAGTTTTTATTGAAAATTTGGAAAAGAATGGTGACACAACAGTTGGTGCAACTTAAAGAACTTTCTCATTAAAAAAAATCCTAATGATGGAGATATTTTTGATTGTAATTTCCTCTATTTTTATTGTGGATGAGTTCTCTCATCTGTTCAAACTGATCTCATAAAGTTTTGCTCTTTTTGTAAAATTGAGAAAAATGCAAAATTCAGCTATTTTCTCTTCTTCTCTATTAGAATGTCGAAGGAAAATACTGAAATTACAACTTTGTAAAAGCAACACTAAAAACTAATTTTTCTTCAGTTAACTTTTTAAAAGTTTTTGACAACTAAAAATAAAATCATAGTAGTCTTTTTTTAGCTTTTTGTCGAAATTATCTAAAGAAATACTTCAGGAGAATTTTAATAGAAATAATGTCAGAAAGAGTAAATAATGTTATATGTCTTATTTTAGAAAGTAAAACCTTAGAGAATAAAGGATATGTTTTGATAATATCATAGAGTAGTATTTACTGGATAATTATTGCTTGCTAAAAGTTATTGCTAAAAGTCTAATTAATTTAAATTTTAGATAAACCGATCAAAATTATAAATGTAAGCAAAATTCATTAAAAAATCTAAATACTGTGTATTAAAGATATCAAAAGCATAAACAAAACAAGAAAAGTCTAGTTAATTTGGTAAGAATACAAAAATGATATTCAGTGCAACCAAAAGCGATATTTTTTAATAAGAACTAAAAAGGAAAAGAATAAAATAAAAATATAAAAATCGTAATAATTGTTTACTGTTTGATAGGCAATATAGAGCAGTGAAAGTTTTTAGGCAAATAAATCAAACCTTTCTTTGAACTGTTCAAAAAAAAGACGAAAATACATTCTTGAAGAGAATGAGGATTGAATAATTTCAAGATCGATTCTTTTGCACAAATTTCTCAATTGCTTTTTTTTGCGATAATTCAATAATTTAGATCAACTTTAATAAATTTTTATTAATCTGAATTAAATATCTCGTCAAATTTATTCTCCGTTTTTTAATTCAAATTTTATCTAAATGTCTCTTTCTTTCACTTTCTAGCCTTATGTTTTTAAATGAATTTTTGCTTACCGATTCCAAAGTTTTTTGATGACTTTTTCTTTCGCATATTTCTATTTTTTTCTTGTTTCTAATTGCAAAGTAAAAACATCGCTTTAAGGATTCCTGTCAAACTTACTGTAACGATCTTGGCTTTCATATATTTGAAATAATTTGATGAAAAGTTTGAAAAGAACACTAAAATATATGAAGAAAGTGGATGAAACGAGCATGAGTAAGTTAAGTTGTTCGAGAAAGAAATTATCTCCTCTAGAAATTCACTTTACTTTGGAAAAAATGACTTCATATGAATTTAACAAAAATAGTTCTAAATAAAGTAGCATTTTTTTGTTTCGTTAGTTAAAATGATACTCCTCTCCACGCTTGAGCTGTAAATGCAAATTGACTAAATTTTCAAAGTAGCAAAAAAAATCCTTAATGAAAAGAAAGCAAAATTTCAAATGAAATTAGAGAGTGTCTGAAAAAAAAAGACTATAAAGAGAAAAAAAATAAGCAAAAAAGTGGAAAGTAAGTGGCAAAGGTTTCGAATTTCCTGAATGTAAGTATATGTGAGAGATGCAACAAGTGGTTATTTCTGTTTGAGATAAGAAGATGACGAAATATGAGCAGAAATATGTAGAATAAGCTGGAATAAAACTATTACTTGTCAAATAACCGGAATTATCTTTGTTTTTGTCAAAATTTACCCAAATATAGCGATAAACTGTAGTTATTGATATTAAAATTTTTTACAGAAAAATAAACAAGATAAATGATTGCATCAAATTTGCTTAATAATAATGAGGTTAAGTTTTCAGAGTGATTTATTTACAAAAAGGCAAAAAGATCAAAAAAGAAATTTCAAAAACATACTTGAAAGTTGTAAAAATTTCGTTCAACAGTACCTCTCTTAGCCAAAATTTTACAGATTTGTTTTATTTGTTTTAAAATTATTATGTTCTTGAATATTCCAAATAGTGTTGCATGGAATAAATGGAATATGCTGTAGAGAGGCACTGTGTGCTACTTCCAGAAATCGGTCAAGTCAGTGTGGAGTGATAGATGTACACTGATAGATCGGCTGTAAACTGATAAAGCTTCTGCTACTGCTGCTGATTTTCTAACTTCTGAGCCCTCCTCTCTGTCGATGATTTCTTCTCCCAACAACAATCCCTCTCTAATTTTCTTAAATCATTTCGATGGATATACAATCTGTTACATTCTTTCGTTATCTTTCTATGATATTTCCTAATGTTTTTCTCCATTTCTTCATTTCTTAGTTCAATAAAATTTTTTGCAAAATCTTTTGTGATATTTTTTATGTCTAATATTTTAGAAATGTTTATATTGTTAGATGTGAATGTGAGAAAGAGAGAGAGAGAAAGAGAGAAAGGATTGAGAAGAATTCATTCATATCAATTATATTATCTTTCTTCTGTATCTTCTTAACTCTTTCCCTCTTTCTCTCTCTCTCTGTCTCTCTCTCTTCCTCTCTGCAATAGATTTCAAAGCGTGGGCTAACTAACCTCTGCTTAAGGTTGAAGTTATTGCTTTTGTTATTACGCATAGCTTCAAACTGAAAAGCTTCAGCTCCATCTAATTTAATTTCAACAAACAGTCTTACACAATTTTTTCTCTCGCCTTACATCATTGCTAACAAAGCTTTTAAGCTTCCCACAAACAAAATAAAAACATCGAACTCGTTTCTTTTCAAAAACGATAAAAATATTGAATGTATTTATCATTGCCGCAACGTGTTCCATCATCAGAAATGCACGTACATAACCAAATCTTATGGGGGTGGTATACTTTTGATGTAAGTAAGAAAAATGAGAATATTGTTTAATATCGTCTTATATCACATAATGCTTTTAATATCTCATACTGCATGAAAAATTTTAAAAAAAAAATCAATTCATAAAAAATAATATTACGCGATGGAAAGAATCTGATGTTATCATAGAGCTTGCAGAAACAATATGTTGTCAGTGATAACAAGAATCATTTTAACTACTGAATGTAGTAGTGTAAAGGTCAAAAGTATCAATTTTATTTTTTCAAAAATATCAAAAAATTTAGAACATATAATCTAATGTGATATAATCATTTTACAATGATTTCTAAATTATACGAAGTAATCACGTACAGGTGAGACTGTTTCGAATTTAAGTTAATGCCATCACTTTTTGTTATTCTAATGTTCTTTGCAGTTTTTTTCAATTATTTGAAATTTATTTTTTCAAGCTTTTTTATTCATCATTTACTATTGCTTTGTAAGAATTTAGCGCTATGAAAAGTTTATTTTTCAATTTTTAGAATTTCAAGAAAATATTTGTAGTTAAGAAAGTAGGCTATGAATGCATTAAAAATCACAAAAAAAAACTAATCAATTTACCAATATCTGATTTTATTGAAGAAATCTCGGCTGAGAAATGATATTTCACTTCATTTTTCAGATTTCTCATTTAATAAGTTTCTTCATATTTCTCTCTTTCAAGAAAAATAATCCAAAATCTTTTTAGATTATCGTAAATAATACTTTTAATTAAATAATTCGGTTCAACAAATTTTAGAGTTTCCGAAATTCTAATGAATCTTATCTTGAGATTTTCCAGAAAAAACCTCAAAGGTTCAGACATTGAAGATTTCAAATTGATTCGAGGTTATCGGGACTAGTTTTAAGCATCATTTTGCTAACTCTTCTCATGATTATTTGGTGCTGCTTTTTCGAAGAAATAATTCAACATATATATATATATATCCAAACAATTTCGAAATTTCTTAGTCCTTTCCGAGATGCCTTTTTTTTGAGAATGTCTCAATCACCAGCCAGGAAAACAGCTGTTCTCCTATTGATTCTCTATAGAACCGAGATTTGGTTGAACTTCAGGAAAAAAATTTTTCCAATTAATGATTTATCTTGGAAACACAGGAAAAAAAAGATGCGTTGCAAAATGAATTATAAAGAGAAAATTTTGTTTAAAATGTTAGCAATTTTACAAATAATTTGTTTTCTCTAAATTTCATAATAACTTATCATATGTAATTAAATTTTAAGCAAAATTATTTCTCTTTAAATGTTTATTCATATTTATAGTGTCATGACCAGCATGTACATTACAGGCATATTCAACATTGAATCTTACTGCTGAAACTATAGCCGATGTCGAAAGTATTTCAATCAGTTCACAAAGGTCAATACAGGTGCTTAAAAATTTCCTTCCATCTGAATACTTTCTAGAATTCAAAAAATTTAACTGAACAAGGATTTTTCAGAAAAGACGATTTAGTTATTTTGAACTGTGATAATTTGAAATGATATTGTTATAGTCTGTGAAATAAATTTATATAATGAGATTTTTTAATCATTTTATCATCATGCAGTTGCAAGCAAATAATCTTTATTAAAGCAATGAAAGATTGAAGAAAAATTAGTGTTAGGGAAATTATGGAGTATATGAACCAATTGAAATTCTTCCAAAACAATGTTTAAAATTGATATCTTTCTAATGCAAAATGCTATGTAAAACTGAACTTCGAAATTTTTTACAAGCATCAACTGTTAAGACATTTGTGATTAACGTTATACACTTCAAAAAATTTATCTCACTAATCGTTTTGAGAATATTGACTGCTCCGATGAACTGATTCTTATAATCATGTAAAGTAGAGTTGAAGTTAAGAGACAGAGCCAAATACTTTACTCCAGCTATTAATCAGTGATATTATGTTTTCCTTTCTTTTGAATATAAGCTTTAGCAACCGGATATTAAGAAATACTACTATAAAACAATATCTGTGAATTTGAAACATCAAAGATTGCTTACAAATAATTACACCTTGAACTTAATCATTTCATTTGAGTAATTTCTCATCAATATTTTATGGTATTCATTTGTAATAAAGCACAACTTTACAAAAAATTTATTTTCATTCAGTAGGTAAATGACATAGTAAAAGTACTGCTATCCAAATTCAAAAAGGCAGAGAAAATGAGACAAAAATACAATTAATTCGAATTTTCAAAATGAAGTTTAAAAAAAGGCATATTGGCATAAGTCTATTTCATCCATACGGTACAGCTTATCATAACAATTATTGAAAAATGATCACAGTAGTACAACCAAAATAACTTTTAGTTGTAACATAAAAATAGATAAAAGTCATAAAATTTTAAAGCAACTTTACAAATAGCATTATAAATAGCTATATAACTGCACTGGTATGGCACTAATACATGCAACATAAGTTTAGCAATAAAGAAAAAATTTTCTCACCGCAACGTTTGGATATGAAAATTTAAATTTACAAAAAGCGAAAACACAAATTAAACAACAGCCCATAATTAAAAAAAGACAATTGAAAATCGAAATAAAGAAAAAAACAAATACGAACGTCGAGGAATTTAAAAAATAATCAAACAAAAAAATTAATACTCAGATATTGAAAAATTCAGGCATTATAACACTATAGAAATTAGGCATTTTTAGTTTGAACCAAAAAAACGGATGAAATTCGAATGTCGCTGAACTAATATATTTCTATCGTAACTGAATCTTAAGTTTTGCTTGGCTCTGAGCAGCGCCTAAAGTATTGCGAATTGTTATCATATAGTCACCAGCTTCTGCTTCTGAAATTCGTTGCAACTCCAGAACTGCTTTGTTACCAGTTAATGATATCTGAAAAAGCAACACATGATATTTCAAATTTACATATTACCCAATTTTATTTCTGATGATTTATTCATTTTGTGGTAACTGTAATATTTATGATATTGAGAATTTTATAGTTTGAATCGTTCATGTTGATAAAAAAGAGAGACACTTTTTTTAATGCTTATCTGTAAATTTTATTTGAGTAAGCAAGTAATCATCAAGACCTAATTAATTTAAAAAATTTTAATCGCTTCCTTGTATTTCTGAGAGTATCTAATTTAATTTTTATTAAATTTATTAAAGAAATAAATTATTGTTTTTTTAAATTATCTATTTAAAAATTTCATGTCCTTTGATAAGTTTATCAAATTTCAAAAAATTAGAGCAGATCAAAATACATAGATAAATCAATCAATCAGTAAAAAAGTGTTTTAAAAAATCGGATAAAGAGAAACATAAGCATTAGTTAAATTTGAACAGAAAGAAACTAACCTTATGATTGCGTCCATCATAAAGTGGTTTTCCATTAAATTGCCATGCAACACTTGGTTGTGGGTTACCTGATATTTCGGCAAGAAACTTTACTGTATGTCCTGGTAAAAGAGAAAAAAAAGTTAAAAGTTAGAACAATAGAAAAAAAAATCTTTTATTTTTGCAAAGGAAATTCACTCCTTCAAACCAGACAACGCATTGAATAAGAAAACTAAAATTGAAATTTTCAAAATTTTAAAACAAGAATAACTATGAAAAATCACTCTAACTGATTTATTTTTAACATTAATCATTTTCTATAATGTCAATCATCTTAATTTCACCTGCTCGAGCGGTTATGTCTGAAAGTTTTGAAATAAATTGCGGTACACCAGAAGATGGTGCTTTTTTCCTCAATTGAGTACTATCAGAAATAGCACTGTTTGGTACATTTCCAGATGCAGAAGAAGATGCTGCAATTGTCGGTCGCGTTACAACGCCACTTTTTGCTGCAAACAAGAAGGTAATCATTTTTAAAAATTTGCAACACTAAATATAATTTGATATTAAAATGACCAATAAAAAGTATTTACGTTGTAAAAGCAAATTGGCGACACTTGTTGCTTTACCAGCCGGATTTGTTGCTTCACATTTATACTCTGCCACATCATCCTGGTAACACTTCGTAATGCGCAACATTGCCTCACCTTTGCCTTGACTCATTTCGAAATATTTCGTCTTCTTGATTGGCTCATTATTACGATACCATCGAATCATTGGTTCTTAAAATGACAATTGGATATGTTGATTATCAGGGTCCAATATTAATGAATTCATACATTCGTATCTGCACCGTATTTTTTTTTAAATAATTTAAAAACTAGGCAAATTCTTTAAAAAATTGAAAACAAATAAACATAATAGAAATGATACCAGGAAAACCGGTATAGCTTGCTTTAAACTCAGCTGGTGCTCCTTCATTGACTATAACAGGTTGTATTTGGGACTGGAATCGAGGTGCCTCTAATCGTGGTCCAACTTCAGCTCCTTTTCCGGTTTTTGCCAGTATGATATTAAGACGAGCTTTACATCTGAAACAAATGTTCCATAGTCATATCATAATGATTCAAAGATTTGATATCAATAAATCACCTCAGTTTTTATTTTTAATTTTCTGAAGTCCAACAATTTTTTTTATTCAATTTTCTGAAGTCCAACAATACATAAGAACTATATCTTTTAATATCTTTATATATCTATATCTTTGTAATATGAAAAGTTTCAAACATTCGTCGTGCCTTAACATCTATCAGTTATTGCCAGGCTTAATGTAAGGGGCTTAATCTAAGGCTTGATCTACTTCAGATTGGGAAGCAAAAATAACAAGCGCACACAGATATATTTGAATATTTGAAAAGAAAAAAAAGTGATCCAATTTTGCAGATGAATGAAGAAGAAAAGCTCTAGAAAACCTCAGACCTGAAAGTGAAAAATGAAATTGTTAACTGAAATCAAATTTAAAGTATACAAAATGTTCGAAAGCTCACCTAGCTTCACCAGCGCTATTCTTTATAACGCATTCATAGATACCTGCATCCTGCGGTAATATGTCAGAAATTATTAACAAGCGTTCATTACCCTCACTGATAATCTGATAACGTGCATCATTTGGTAGTGGCTTACTATCCTGTAATTTCAAAACTTTTCTAATATATTAAATTTATTTTTAATGAATTCAAAATAAATCTCAAACATCGTCATTTTTGAATGTCAAATTATTTGCATACGGTTTCAAGTGATAATATCCATTCCAAAATTAGTTAGCTAATATTCCAAAAAAAAAGAAATTTAAACAAAAATTACTTTGAACCAACTAGCAATTGGTTCTGGATTGCCAGTAACGATGCATCTGAACTGGGACGAAGCATTTTGTTGAACTCGGACATCGGTCATTCGCTGCGTGAAATTCGGTGCTGTCCCATGTCCAGCTGGTGGAAGAACGACCAAATTAGCCATCGATTCTTGTGTACCCGCAACATTTGTTACGCGACACATATACTGACCATCATGGTCAACTTTTAACTTCCCGACTGTCAAGGTTGAACTATTTGGTGTGGTATCGATCTAAGAAATAATTGTAAAATAAGTGGACATTTTAACAAATGTTGCTATTACACTGCAGACAGATTAATAGCTAGAATAATTCATCTTGACCATCAAGTCAAGTTGCGTTCTTTTATGTCAGTGACCATTTTTAGTGAATTCAATTACTATCACTAATCTTTAAAATACTCTCAATCCCAAACAGAATTTCGCAAAATTTTTAAAATAATTCATGCATTTAAATCATTCTATTCTACTTTATTTCATTATTGAAAAAGATTTCAATTCAGCTATAGAAATAATAAAAAATTCTAGATACCTGAAATTCGAAACTTGGTTTGATTTCTTTACCGTTCCGGAACCACTTTATTGTAATAGGTTCATCACCATTAAATAACACATTGAACTGTGCCTGACGTCCAATTTCAGCTTGTACTGGTTTCAATTGTTGAGAGATTTGTGGCGCTACTTTTTGAGTTTGTCCCATTTTAGTTGGTTGCGGCTGAAGAATTCAATAATGATAATCGATAATTCGATATTTTCGTTAATGCTTTTAAACATTCAAAAAGCTGGAAATTGATATACAGCGCACAGCAAAAAAAATTTTACGATAAAATCGAAAATGAATATAAATTAGTGATTAATTCTTAAAAATCTTTCTAACAAAGCCATTAGATTTTGAAGTCTGAAAGAGCACTCAGTGAAAAGTGTTAAAATGATTATACATGATTTCAAAAACAAATATGATCCCTTTCAATTTTAAAATAAAGTCAAGACATTCCGACTTATCATCTCCTAATAGGTTTTAGATTAGATCTTTTCGTCTAACCCTCCAAAGTCTAATTATGCTGTTAACAGATCAGATCGCATAGCTTTAGCGGAAAACAGTCTAGAATCCTAAGTTGGTTTAAAACTTCTAAAAATATATTTTCGAACATGCTTCGAAATTATGACCAGAATAAATTTTTGTAAATCCAATTAGATTAGTGCTGAGTTAAATTTCATTAAAATGATAGCAATTAACTGAAACTGAAAAAATTAACTGATACATTAAATGATAGAAACACTCGTTATATTGCAAAAATATTTATCTTAATAAAAAAAATTTAAATGAAAATGCTGACAGCAATATGTCGTAGAATACGAAAACCCAAGACTCGTTCACGGATTCGATTAGTATAATTGAATTCTGCACGTTTCATATATTCTTCCGACATCAGATCTTCCTGTTCTGCTAAGTTCACTTCAACTGCATGCTCAGAATGTTCACGACAAATTTGATATAGTACAGTATGCTAAAGTAATTTTCAGGCAATTGTTCACAAGACGTAACTCAATAATAGTTACTTTGAAAATACTAGTTTTAATAAAAAAAATAAATCAATTATTATAAGCCTATCACTCTATAAAAAGTTACTCAATAGAATGCGAGAATTAAAAAAGTCAATCAATAATAATCAATTAATATGACGAAAAAGCCATACAATTATTGATTTTGAAGTTTCTAACCGACTAATTTCTCTATATCTATGACTATTTTATACTAATTTTAAATTCTGAAAAAGATCATTTCTATATAAAATTTGAAATATTGTCATGAAGAAGATATCCGGATGTTTATACAAACCATGCAATTCTGCGTTGAAAAAATATTAATAAAGTGATTTCAGCAAATACTTTTAATTTAATGATACACCACAAATAAACATGAATGAAAACCACACAAAAGTTATTGTTTTTTTTTAGAACAGAATTGAAACCATGCAGAAAGGAGAGCAAAAAAATGCTATCTCAAAATGTCACCTTCGACGGTACTGTCGTTTCTGTAATCTTTCTGCAAAAATTGAAAGAAATTAAAATAGTTCTTTAAGTAAAATTCAAATTTGACTCATGACTTTTGACCATTGTTACTTTGATTTTAATTTTACTCGAAATAGTATAAATAATTAGCTGCAAAAGTATTTTTTTGCAATTAAATCTTTAAAAAAGTCAAATAAATGTTTATAGATAACTATGACAAAAAACAAGAATATTAAATTTCATATCACTATAATTTAATGCCTATTACGAAATTGTCTTTAAAACTGTGAATTCATAAAATATGCGAAGAACTGTTTTATACGAGCCTGCAACAATCATCAACAGATTTCTACCATTTACAAAGAATCAGGCTATATCTATGAACTATAAAATACATTATGAAACCATAAAATACACTAAATTCAGATACATCCAACTGAAAGTCGAATATATAAGAGAAAATATCTTACCCTTTAACAACAGCAGGTGTTTCTTTCAGAGGACCACTCTCGATAACTGATGCTTCTGATGGTTTCACCACTTTCGGTTGGAATTTCTGCTTTATCTGTACCTGATTTTTTGCTGGAACTTCTACCTGGAAATACCGCAAATGTGAGTTACCGCTGGATTATAGATTTAATTTAAACAATTTAAATTCCAAGATGAAACTTCTACCTGCTTAGCTGTTTCCGGTTTCTGTTTTACAGATGCCAATTTTGCTTTCTCTTTTTGAATTTCCACATGTTGTGCAGATGGCAATTCAGCCGCCGGCTTTGGTTTCGCCAATTTAAATTTCACCTGATCACGCGCCGGTACTACTACCTCTTTTTCTTGCTCAGGTAATCTTCGGAATCTTAAACATTTTAGTGACATCGTAAATTCTGACATGATTCACTTATGAATATTTGCTTAATCTGTTCTACTAGCATCTCGAGAAGAAATTCTCAAAATTTCGTCCAAATATTTATTGAGCAATATCTGCTCACAAATACTTCTGTTAAATTCATCTAAAGGATATTTCATGACTACTTTCGTTAATATTATATGCATTATCCTTCAGTCTTTATATTAATGTTAATCTAGAGACAGTCTCTAATGATAACACAATTGAATCGACACTCTCTAATGATGGTGTTATATAACAACTGAAAAAGCAATTTTTATGCCTCAATCTTTCAAATAAATTTAATTCAATTTTGGTTATGAATCATCTTAAACTTTGAGTTATAAATTAGTTTGAATGAGATTCAAATCTTTGGTCAAATAACTTGAATTTTGTGCGACTACATCAAAATCAAACCGTGATTCAACATTGCCAAGCTTTTTGTCGACTGCCCATTGCGGTTTTGGTACGCTAGCACCAGCAGGTATTGCTTCCTTTTCTACTTTAGGAGCAGCTCTTAGTTCCACTCGTTCCATCTCTTCTTTTGCTGGCTTATATTTCTCAACATGTCCAGGCTTTAAAGCTACATCCTCCAACTTCATGCTTTCAAATGTTGGACGAGTTGTTTCGATCTGCATCAAATTTTACAATTTATTATTAAATATTAGTGGAAAAAGTTAACATTTACAGAAACTAATCATAAACTATGTAGCTAGCACCAAAAATTGTATTTAAAATTAACTGAAAATTATAAAAACTGTATTTAAGAAAAAAGATACACAATGCAAATCTTCAAAATGTCGTACTCAATTCCTCCCTAAGTTTTGCTGCTAATGATTTAACACTTTTCTGGTGGACTTGCTAGTTCTGTAGAACACACAAGTTTTTCTGCGTTTCAAAACTAGCTTGCAGTTATTTTCATATTTTTATGTCATATGCAAAGCCAGTCTGTCAAAATTTGACTTGTTACAGCACTCGAGAAATTACATGAGCAAAAATAAAAATTTTAAACTCGTAAATTTAAACAATTCCAATAAGATATCAAAATTTACATAAGTAAGTTGGTTGTAGAATTGTTCATTTTTAGGTCTGGTAAACCTCTCGATAAGCTCTTCACTTTCAAGCGGTTCGATAGGTGTCTTCGATCGTTCAATCCTCATCAATTTTTGTTGATCAGCTTTTGGTGCTTTCTCAAATGCTTCTCCAAGAGAGCCTAGAACTTCCTGAAAATTCCGAAAACTATAAATGATATATTCTTTTTTCTGATATATAGCACAGTAGATCAGTATTTTTTCAAAGTATATGAGCTAAAATCCTATCAAAAAAGCGATTTATTAAAAGATTTCAATTTTACTGTACCTTCTGCCATCTGACTTCTCTCTCGTGCAGTTCATCAATAGTTTTGAAAGATGTCGGCCTTAGTTTGACATGTCGGAAGTCCTTGGTTTGATAAACGTCTAACATTGCGGAAGCAAGTACCTCACCCTCCGAATTTTTTGCAATTGCAACAATCTAAAAATGTTCCAATATTTAATTGTAGCATATAATTTTTTTTAGAAAAATTAAATGAAAAATTAGAAAGCTTACTTCACCAGCATCTGATATTTTAGTCTTTGAAATTGTCAAATAGTAAATTCCATCATAATGTAATTTATATCTGCTTCCCTGAAAATTTATTTCTTTTAAATTATCATCATTTTTTCCATATACTATATTTGAAGCAATTTCAGCAAAATTAGAAAAATATGAATGCATTCGAATATCGACAAAAAAATTGCTGTTAGAAAAAATTGAGCAAAGTTTCTAAAGTTAATGTAAAACTCAATATTCAGGATATTTCAATCACGTAAAAAGAAAAACAACCCAAATTATTCGGCTAACTAATAACAACGTGAAGCAATCACCATCACACGGGATTCAAAAAAAATATAGTTTTCCAAAAAAAGAAAAAAAAAGCTTACATGTATGGCTTGATTCCCGTTTATATACCAAATAACTTTTGGTTTCGGATAGCCGATTACCGCGCACTCAAATCTGGCCGGTTCATTTTCTACCGCCTGTATATTCATGGGTTTTATTGTAAATCTTGGTGGCTGTTTCCCACGCTGCTGTTCGCTCATTTGTTCAGACCTAAAAAATCATTTTAAAAAAATGGAATTACAATTATGACTCTGTTAGTCGAGCATCACTTTAATAATGAACAACGGAATTTCAAGGTGCAAAGTGCATTTAATATTTAATTCTTTAGTAAAAGAATATTTTTTAACAACACTAAAAATTCACTACTACTTATGTAAGGTGTCCAACAATTCTCAAGTTTAAAAAAGTAAGTTGGAAGTTTTTCATGTAGCAAAACAATTAGAAATTATCATCGATAATAAAAATTGTAGCCAATTTCCTTCGTAGATTTTAACTAGGAAGCTAGAAATATGTATATATGATGAAATCAAATACTTGAAAAGAAGAAAGAAAAAACAAACCAATACGGTTGATCACCGAGTTTCTTGACATCAGAAACTAGAACACCTTGCGGAAGCTGGCTTTCGGTGATAATATGTTTAGAACCTGAACAAGCCAATTTTGCTGATGTTGTTGCTTTCCCATAAGGATTCGTAGCAACACAAGTATATTCACCCGTATCGTCTGGTAATGCGTAGAGGACATCTAAGCATGCGAATCCAAAATCTAGCACTGAACGGAAGCGATGTCCTACAATATTTTTTTCTTTAAATAAAAACTAAATAGAAAGCAAAATCAAAAAAGATAAAATTAGGTTTGAAACATTAAAAGATGAAATTTGTATCAGAATCAACAACAACATCAATTTGTGTATTTTTTCTTCACGTCATTTCAAAATTTTAAGTGCTATGCACTGGGAAGTCGTTCTTGAAGAGAATGCATCAATTTAAAAAAAGAAAAAGAATTTACCTATTAAAACGGGTTTTCCATCTTTAAACCACTCTACTTTCATATATGGATCATTAATCGGTGCAATTTGTGTTTCGAAGCGGCAATAATCACTCTCCTCAACACCAATATTCGTTAACTTAGTTTTAAATTCGGGTGGTTGCTCTGCAGCTTCATTATAGGCATCGTCCTTGCTAAGTGCCAAAGCAACATGCGTATGTTGACGTAAATGATTCTCGAGATTTTCCATATTAGCTCCAGGTGCTTGTGGCGCAAATTCTACGCTTGGTTTTGAAAGGATCTAAATTCAAACCAAAAATTAATCACATTCCATTCATTTGAAATAAACTGAATTTTCTGTCAGGAAACCAAATAATTTTACAATATTAAAATATTGAAATAATCAGAGTGTTTTTGTATTTTAGAAATTTATATTGCAATGAATTGTCATTTAATTTCTCTTATTTATATAGTTTCCTGAATATGATTTTAAGGAAAACTGTAAACGGTTAGTTTCATTTATGATTAAATGATTCTTGTTTAGCAATGGACAATCTTTATTTACTATTAGTTTTATCTATGAAATGATCGTGAAATGGTTTGCTTACTTTATTATTCTTAATCTTTCGACTTCTAAAAAACTATAAATATATTTTTTTCCATTTTTTTTTTCAAAATCTGGTTATATTCTCTCAGATCAATAAGTAAAGAAGAAAGCCAAGTGATTGATTCTATTATAATAATTACTAACAACTGTCTTCTAACGTCCAAGAAGAATAAAAGTCTCAAATAATAAACTGCCAAACTATTTGATCCTACTCAAAACAAATCTTTCTGTCGAACGAAATAATTTCTGCAATGCTAAGAAATAAAACCAAAAAGTTTTTCAAGCATAGTGAAATTATTATATGATTTTATCAGAAGGATTTGAATACAAAAAAAATCATAAAACTTTAGAAATCTTTACCGTAACAAGAGTTTTAGTGGATGCTTGGCCTTTATCATTCATAACAACACATTCATAAACGCCACTATCTTCCGGAAGTGCATACAGAATATCCAACGTTACGAAACCAAATTCACATAATGACTTAAAACGTGAAGCTTCCGTGAGTGGTTTACCATCTTTCAACCAGTTAACTGTCAATTTTGAATCATTAATGGGTGATACACGACATTCCATATGAATTGAATCGCCTTGCTGCAACAAACCAGAATTTTTTTTTCTGATATTTTATCATGATTTCGCATTTATTTGATCGATTGTCGTTATTCATTTTTAAATTAAATTATCCATCCGAAATTTTTGTTTGTTCGCTCAGAGAAAGATAAAAAAGAACAATAAAGAAAACAATACATCAACTCCACCAATATTTTCAACCAGAGGTTGAATTATTTGTGGTGCGTCAATTTGAATGATAGATGCAACTTCAATATGACCAATAGTTTCTGCTTTTCCTTTAGAATTATAAGCTATACATCTAAAAAAAATTTTATTAAATTTCAAGATTGCTGAACATAATCGAATAAGGAACAGGATAATGCGATCGATAAAAAATCTAGTATCTGAATCCAATCAGTAAATGATAATATTGCTTTTTCGATGTATTGACAATTAAATGGGTAAATTTGAGTAATTTAAATAAATCATTTGACACTAAAAACTACTTTATGTTGATGAAAAAAAAAAACATTAGAAATGAATGGTATTCAGTTAACAAATGAAGTTAAGATGAAACTTCAAAAAACTTGATCAGCTAGCTGATCGTCAAAATAAATAAAGTTTATACTTGTATTCTCCGCTGTCTTCGGTTATCAGATGCTTAATTAGCAGTGTAGCGACACCAAAATCACTTGACATATGGATCCTATTTGAATAAGGTATAGAATGTCCATTATGAAGCCATTCAATACGAAGCGATGAATCACCAATTGGTTGCAACACACAAGTAAAAGCTGTTGCTTCTGCTTCATTCATCTAAAATTATTATTTAGAGAGCATTTAACAACTTAAAATGAGTCTTGAAAAAATTAGAAGCAATAAGTTTTAAATTAAAATTGTAAGAAGACTACAGAAGTAGAATTACACTCTGGTTAAGAGTTGAATCAAATTTCCTAATGTTTCTGGAACATAGCTTTTATTGAGAAATCTCAATAAGATTCCAAAAATCCTGCTGAGAAATTATGAGAAATAATTATGTAAAAAGAAGTCACGAAATTTGGAAGTAATAATGGAATCTAGACTGTAAAAAAAAACAAACTCTATACAATATCAGATTAATTTCTTTACCTGACCAAGATCAGTGAGATTTTGAGTAAAGTACGGTGCGTCAAACTCTCTTACTGGTTGATCCAATTCATCTCTTGGCCGATGGATATATTCTTCCAGCTTTTCAATACGATTTTTACCTTCAGCAGTACTTTGCCAATCGGAAACAATACCACCCATACCTTGAACCTGAAAATTACTGATTATTCATCTATATAAAAACAATTATCTTGAAAGTCATATCTCTCTCTAAAATATGGAAATATTATCAATTTAAATAATCATAAATAGTGACAGCATCATATGTTGAAAGTATTGACCGCATCTAATAGAAGTTTTAACTTTAAACTTTGCCTGCATATCGCATGATGTTTCCGCTTGTCCTTTCTTGTTGCTTGCACGACATACCCATTTTCCCGAATCTTGTGGCTCTGCAGGCATCAACTCTAGAACCACAAAACCAAAATCATGAATTGCTTTCATACGAGCTGTATGTCCAACAGGTTTTCCATTATGGAACCATTCGATCTTTAGATTCGGATCACCTACTGGTTCCACTTGTGCTTCCAAATGCGCTAACTGTCCTTCTGATAAATTCGTCAGTGACTGGAACGAAAAATTATAGCTTCGAATAGCAAAATAATTTTGAAAGCAAAGAAAGAGATTTCATAACAATATATCAAAGGTAAGAAATTTTTCAATTTCGAAAAACCACATTTTTAGGATGGCATTTTCCGAGACCAACTAAATTTCAACCTGTAATTGAGTTAAGAATTTCGGTGCTCCATAATCAAACTCAGGCTTCTCAGGAAGCGGTGCTTTCGGTGCCTCAATTTCAATGATTTTTTTATAAGCACCAGACATGCTATTTGGAAGCTGTGACTTCGTGATGATCGTTTGCTTGGGATTACATTTCAGTTGTGTGCTTGTTACCGCTTCACCAACCTGAAATTTTTAACATTTAAGAGCTTGAGTCGTAATCAGAAATACAAACGGTTGAACAGTGATTACCTGGGCAAAAATATTCTAACCTTGTTAATGGCACGGCAAGTATATTCACCCGAATCTTCCGGATATGACGGTGATATCTCCAGGATAACAAAACCAAAATCATTGATTGTTTTGACACGACTTCCAGTCTTCAATGGTTTCCCATTCAGATACCAGTGAATCTGGAATAATGGTTTCGAAAAATCACAAATCAGAAAAATATGTGATAAATATCAAGAAATAAATTACATGAGGAGGTACATATCATTATAAGCTATTCATTCACAATTCTTTTAAAAGAAAATTAAAAAATCCTAAGATGAAAATTCAAAATATATAATTGAAAAAGTACAATAATAAAAGTAACCTGTAACTGATTATCATTCAATGGCTCATATCGAGCAGTAAAATGAACACGATCCCCTTCCTCACATGTGGTAGGAGCAGAAAGTGGTTCAATAAATACAGGAACGGTTTTTTGCTCCTCGATAGCTTTTTCTTCCGGTTTCAAGTGTAAATTATATTCAAGCTGTTCAATTGCTTTTGCCTTACCTTCATCCTGAACAAAACAAAGAATCGACACTTATATTTAAGTATAACAAATAAACAGAAAGTTATCTTAATTGATTGATAAAGGATTACTGATTTACATTACTCACAGAAATTATGCGCTGAAGTAAGTGATATTTACTAGATTTGCTAGTACTATTCTCATAGTACAATTTGTCCGCAAGGGTAGAGTTAATAAAAGATTTATATGTTAATATCAAATACATTTCTTATGATGAATAATGAACTGATTTTTGCAAAATTTCATTTCCAAATGTTTTCAATTCGACTAAGAAATTATTTGATCTTCAATCACAATTATTCAGATCAACGATTTTTAAAATCTATTTAACTTCAATTTCAAAGTAAGTTTCCAAATTACCTGAGGTTGGAGTAGAAGAGTTTCTCTGGATGCAATTTCTAAAACAGTTGATGAGCTCGCTTCACCCGCAGAATTAATAACTTTCACAGTGTATTCACCGGCATCCTGAAGTAAAACATAGAAACTATTTCAGAATTATAACTACACTATTTCACTATTTTTCGATTGTCGCTATTTAAAAAAAATAAGAAGATTGCAGTTTCAAATCAGGTTTTAAGTTTTCAAAAAAGTTTAAGCACGATATGACAATGGAAAATCTGTTTTAATATTTTATAGAGTTTTGAATTTGAATGTTGAATATCTATAATTGTAAGAAACGATCTGAAAGAACGACGGAAAACAAAACCTGTGCAAAGAGATGTAGAATATCAAGAATTGCAAAACCAAAATCTTGCACCATCTTATATCGATTTGCATGGAATAAAGGTTTACCATCACGGAACCATTCTACTTTAAGATGTGGATCATCAATTGGTGTGAATTGAGCTTCTAAGTGAGTGCTATCACCTTCAGTAAGACCTTCCGGCTTTTGTAGATGAACAGTAATCTTTGGTGGACCAAAAGTCTGAAAATAAGAAACCCACGATATCAAATTAAGTCTATAATTCGAAATCTTTCAACTCACTGTTATCTACTATTACTGTATGCTTGCAAAATAAATATCAATGATCCTTATTTATTACTTAACTCTCTTGTTGACTAATAATTATTCACTAAAGCTAACTTTTGGTGGAGCTTCATCAGGAACTGGTTTCTCAGCTTCTATTTCCATAATTCTTTCAAGACTTTGCGGTTGCATCGAATCAAAAATGATACTTTCTTTACTTAAAACATTAATAGGTGCTGCACTTTTTGCTTCCCCAACTTCATTCGATACGACACATGTCCATTCACCGCTATCTCTTGATTCTGTTGTGCTTATATCCATGATAATCCAACCAAAATCATTAATCATCTTTACTCGTGAGCTTGCCGATATTGGGCTTCCATTCAGGAACCTGAATATGGTGAATAAATAATAAAATATAACTTTGCCAAGAATGTTTAGAAATTTTCGAAAGAATAAAATTGCATCTATTTCAAACACATAACTCACCACTGTATTTTAAGATCCGGATCATCTATTGGTTCTATGGTAGCTTCAAAGTGTGCTGGCTGTCCTTCATAGAGATCGCCAGGGCTTTGAATATGTGTAAGAAATCGAGGTAATATTTTCGGAGGTGGCGATATCTCGGGCAATGGTGTTTTCGGTGCTTCTAATTCCTAAAAATTCAGCTTCACATAATATAATTTTCGTAAACTATCACGGAATTGAAATTCAGAAAAAATTGCAAAATAAGATGTTTGCTGGATGAACCTGTATTCGTTTCCATGACTCCATATGTTGAGTATCACCATATATTGCTTCCTTCGGATGACATTTCAACGTAGCACTGGAAACTGCCTCACCATTTTCGTTTGTTAAACGTAACTGATATACACCCTAAATTTTGATGAGATTTGAAAAAAATTAGCTTCCACTTTCAGAAGAATTCAAATTACAATTAATGAAGTAATAAATATTGCTTTTTCCGTGGCGGTAACAAATCATGTTCCATTCTTGCTTCATTTTTACCAAGTGTCTAGAAAAAATGTATCACATTTGATCTTGAAAATATAAATCTCACTTGATCCTCAGGATATGTATAGCCGATATCCAAAGTGCAAAAACCGAAATCCCGTGAAATTGCATATTTCGAGCCATGTGCCAATGGTTGTCCATTACGAAACCATACAACTTGTAAATTAGGATCATTAGTCGGTACAATGACCGCCTCGAAGTGTGATGGTTCACCTTCACCGCATTCAACATCAGAAATTTGTTCATGGAATGCTGGAGCATCATAAACTGGCGGTGGTGGTTCTATAATGTCACAGGTCATAAGCAGATGAAACGAAATATTGCTAATTGATAAATGCTAAAAATTGGCAAAAGTTTTAGAGTATGTAAAAGTTAGGAATCTTCAAGTCAATCATATTCACTCCAAAGAGATGAGAAAGATTTATGCGATTTCAATATTAAGAAAGTTGATAGATGTCTAAGCGGAATCTTGAAATTTAAAAATACAAAACCTTATGCACAAATAATTCTGCTCACCAGGTGTCTTTTCCTTCGGCGCTTCAATTTCTTGAATTCTACGCCACGACTCTTCATGTGAAGTATCCAGTAAAATGTCACCAATACCAGCCACCTGAAATTAAATATTTCATCGATAATAATCTGCAACATGAGCGCAGAAAACGAGAATCTACAATCAAATATTAAGAGTATAGAACAAATAAATTTCAAACTCCTATCTCGAAATTTGCACGATCAAATTTTATAAATAACCTTAATAGAAGCAGACGAAGCCGCTTCGCCCTCGCTGTTTATAATCTTAAGTGTGTAGACACCATTATGATCTGGATTAACACCACTGATGTCCAAAGCCGCCCAGCCTAGTTCGCTTGTTGTCTTTATCAACTGACTAGCACCAAGTGGCTGTCCATTGCGTAACCAGATTACCTTTAAAAATTATCGGAATTTAATTAAATCAATTCAATAATGTTCACTAAATTAATAAAAATTCCGACACTAAAATTGATTTCTGAATTGGTGCAAAAATTTTTATCACGATAAGTTAATAGCAGGTCGTAATCAAACTAATGATGAAGTTTCAAATTTTCAGGTGTTTTTTTGCAGGAAAATAAAAAGAAAAAACCTTAAGATCAGGATCACGAGCAGGTTGGAATGTTGCTTCCAAATGCACAATTGCACCTTCCGGAATATCAGTTACTGATTCGAGTTGCGTGAGGAAACGCGGTTTTTCTTTTTCGATCACTTCCTCAATCTCTTCAATTACTGCTGGTGTTTCAAGAATTTGAATCTTTTCCCAAGATACTGGATGTTGTGTATCACGTACGATTGATTCATAACCTAAAAATGAACAACTTATTTCTCCAAAATGGAAACAATAAATAAGCTTATTTGTATTTAGTGCAAGAAAAAAGAAAAAAATTATAGCTAAAACAAACCAGCAACTTTCACTGTAGCACTGGTAGTAGCTTCACCATGTTTATTTACAGCTTTACATGTGTATACGCCAGAATCTTCCGGAAGAACATGGACAACTGTCAATGTGATATTTCCGAAGTCATTTTCATGACGATATCGATTTGCTGAGAATTTGCAAAATTTAGTGAAAAAAGCAATCATAAAGTGTTCGAAAAATTGCACAAGACAAGAAATGGTAAATGTTTAAATTCTTCAAATTTATTTTTTACGATATTCAAAAAGAGTTTTAGTTTTCCAAAATTTTAACGTAGAAAGTAAGATTTAAGCAAATTTAAAGAAACTTACAGTTCTTTAAGGGAGCGCCATTCAAGTACCATTCAATCCTCAAATTAGGATCACCAACTGGTTCCACATATCCAACTAAGTGTACAATTTCACCCTCTTGCAAGTTATCAATGTTATCGAAAGCTTTGATCCAATTTGGTTTACCGAACTCAGGCTCGGGTACTTCCAAACGTACATTCTTATCGATCGATTCCAGTTCCTGAATTTTTTTCAAGGAATCTGGATGCTGAGTATCCACCACCAAACTATCCGCATCTGTAATGGAAATTTAAAGTTAAAATTAGAGATATTATAATTTTTATGAAAAAAATAAATTTTTATTCCATTTAAATTCCAAGCGCAAATTTAAAATAAATACCCAAGATAGAGACATTTGCACTTGTTACAGCTGCTCCTTGTTCATTTACTGCTTTACATGAGTAGACACCAGAATGATGTGGATAAATAGGTGAGATGCGCAAAGTGACACATCCAAAATCATTAGTCATAGTGTGCCAGCTACTCTGTTGCAATGGTGCATTATTATGGAACCTAAAGATTTTTTTTAAAAAAAATCCATAAATTAAGATTTCTCTGAATAATCTTTGACGTGTGGAATTTGCGAAACTAATTGTTTGTATTTTCTCTTTCTTGTCAGCGAATTTTATAAAATCTAATAAATCTTAAGAAAATTAACCATTGAATTTGCAGCTTAGGATCATTAACAGGTATAACTCTTGCTTCTAAAAGAACAACACTTCCTTCCGGCACATCAGCCATACTTTTCAAAGGTTGAGTGAAAGTCGGTTTTGCATAAACGGTCGGTTCTGGAGCGGCTGGCATAGACTTCGGTGCTTCAATTTCCTAAAATTCTTTTACAGTATGAAATGAAATGACACTCAGAATTCTTCAATGTGAGTCATAATTTATTTAGAATGAAATGTGTACTTGAATTCTTTTCCAACTCTCAGGATGTTGTACTTCTGCAAGAATGCTTGCTCGAGTTTGACATTGCAAATTGCCAGATGTTCGATCTTCACCCACTGCATTCCTTGCCAGACAACGGAATTCACCAATATCTTCCGGTAAAACGTAATGTATGTCGAGCGTTACCAAACCAAATTCATTTCTCATTGAAATACGACTACCAGCAGCTAATGGACGTCCATTATGAAACCTACAATAGAGTTAAAAATTTTTCACAATTAAATTCGAAACTCACAAAAACATTTAGTCTTAAAGATACTGAAGACACAAAACTAACGAGAATAAAATGCAGAATATGTTTGTTGTGAATTACAATTGTTCACACTCGCAACAACATTCAGCATTTGGAGAATCAAAATTCATATTTCTGGTAAGCAATTTGAGAATGAAGGACAAAATATTAAAAAAAAAAAAATACCTAAAATCATTTTGCCATCGCAATATGGCATTCAAAAATTACGCAAATTTATGAAATATTCATATTTTGTTACAAACTTACCACAGAATTGCCAGCTGTGGATCATTGATTGGTTCATATTGCGCTTCGAAGTGTGCTGGCTGCCCTTCGATAAGATTTTCATTAGAGTTTAATTGTCGGATGAAATGAGGTGGCCCATGGCTAGATTCTAATGCCTCTTCAGGCCTCTTTTTTGGTTGCTCCAATACTTGAATCTTTTGCCAGCTACTCTCGTGTTGTGTATCGCCAACAATAGCTAAATGTTCATCTAACTTTGATCCAATTCGAAAAATTTTTTAGATTCCAACTCATAACATCATAATCTATATATTTGGGTCCTTTTTTCTTCAATAAAATTTATTAAAATTGCATCTGAAACCTGATCTGGTTTCAACGGAGAGGTGTCCCTCTGCCTGATCCTGTCCTTGTTCATTTGCTGCTACAACCGTATATACACCAGCATCTTCCGGAACAGTGTATGAAATATCCAATCCGATGAATCCGAAATCAGATGTGTGATGGAATCGATTACTGTTTAACAGAGGAGCGCCATCTTTGAACCATTGTATTCTCATCTTTGGATCATTGATTGGTGTTACCCTGAAATATACAGCAACTGCAAATTCTTAAAAGCAAACGGTTGATATAAAACATCATTAGAAATAATTGTCAAGAATTATATATGAAAATTGCGATCAAAGGTTAAAATTGAAATTCGTTTCTGAATATGAAAAATTAGACATCCATATTCTTGCAAAAGTTGCAGAATGATATTAAAAGTCATTTCATTGAACTAAAATCCTGCATGTTTCATTTTACATTTAAATTTGATTTAACATTAAATTGTAAAAAGTAAAACCTCGTTTCAAAATGTGCAGGCTGGCCTTCGATTCTTTCGATAGTTCCTAGCGGTTGCACAAACTTTGGTGCTAGAGGTTTTAATTCTGGTGCTTCTGGTGCTACTTCTTTTGGTGCTTCGATTTCTCGAATTCTTCGTAAACTTTCTGGATGCTGGCTTTCACTATTGATTATTTCTTTGCCGATAATTTTGAATGTTGCTGTTGACTGAGCGTCACCTAAAGTTAGATTTTTTACGTGGACCAAAGTATGGTCAGTTTAAAATTGATTTAAATAATGGTCATTAGTAAAGGAAATATTGATTATTCTTGGAAAATTTTCAAAGCAAACTTCTTTATACTACAGACATTTAAATCAAATTATAAAAAATCTATTCAACAAACAACAGCTTACCTAAACTATTACTTGCTACACATGTCCATTCTCCACTATCTTCAGGAAAAGCATAGAGTATATCCAATGAAACATATCCAAAATCATGTGTTTTCCGGAAGCGATGACCATTTGCAAGCGGTTGTCCATTTTGATACCACTCTACTATGAGTTCATTATCATTCGAAGGTTCTATCTGAAAAATCCTTAGTTAAAAAAGCAGTTTTCTAATTTTTCAATTTTAATTTCGTCCAAACCAATTTGATCGTTGAAATCAGTCGTTTTCAAACAGTAATTGATAAAATACTCTCTCCAAATTGTCAAGAAAAACATATATTTCCACTGAATTTAAATTTAACTAATTGACTTCAATTTTAGCTAGGATAAATAGTAATCATTTGCAAACAATAGAAAAAAAACCATTAACAAAATTTTACTATTCTACCTTTCCAAAATAATTCTGTCAGCAAAGAATTGTCATCGCTAATGCGAATGCATGTTATCTTTTTTAAAACAGATCACTGAAAATAAATTTTGATAAAATTGACCTGTCCTTCCAAATGAATGGGTTCACCCTCATTGAATTCACCAATTTGCGTGGGTAGAGCTACCACAAATCGTGGTGATATTTTTTCTGGTTCAAAGTAAATTGGTTCTTGCGGTTGACGATTTTCTATATCTTGAATTCTATTCCAAGATTCCTGATGTTGAGTGTCCAAAAGTAGCGATTCCGTTGCTAAACATGAATATTTTTCAGTGCATTCAAATATGAATCTAAAACATTGCAAACTTGTCAAGCAAATAATAAACTAACGTTGGCACGTAACAGTACATGAAGTTGTTGCTTCACCAAATTCACTAACTGCTCGGCATGAATACATTCCGGAATCTTCACCGTACACAGCCAGCAAATCCAACGTTACATAATCCAAATTACGCGCCGGCATAAAACGACTGCCTGAAAATATGATTTAATTTTACTGAAGAAAAAATTTTCGACAAATACAAATAAATGACAACTTAAAGAAGATTTCAAATGAATCAAATTACTACAGAGCAATTAGTTTCCCGAATAATAATGTTATAATTTCATAGGTTTGAATCTATTTGTCTAAATTTTTTTTAGACAAAAATTTGATCTAAAAAATGAACAGCTGAAAATTCACGATGTTTTTTATAGTATTATTCTTCTCGATTTTTCATAAACATTTTATTAATTCAATGCTTCCAAAATAAACATATATTTTCAAATATATCAATTTCACTCTCCTCAAAATTGCGTACCTTCTGGTAACGGTAATCCATTTTTGGTCCAATATACTTTTAATGTCGGATCATTAATTGGTTGCAGCCTACATTCTAATCGAACACTTTCACCATCAACGATACCATCGAAATTCTATAACCATCACAAATATCAGAATTTTCACAAAATTTATTTGAATTATTAGAAGAATTCAAAATCAAACTAGTATTCTGTTAAATGTAATAATGACCCACTTGTAATGGTACAGTGAAAGTTGGTGGTGGAAAAGAAAGTTCAGGTGATGGTTCACGTGGTGGTTGGTAATTCTCGATCTCTTGTATTTTTGCCCATGATTCTGCATGTTGAGTATCAAGATAGATATTTCTTCGTGCTGCAAAATATAGCCATAAATATGTGTTTGCTAATTCTTTACTATTAAAAAAATTCTATTCAAAGTAAAAAAAAAAAACCTATATAGAATTTTGCAAGCTACGACAAACACACAAAATGCATTACATTCTCTCATATAATACCACTAATTTCGGTAATACTTACGTTTACATTCAATAAAGAATTCGGTAGTTGCTTCACCAGCTGCATTGCTAGCTTTGCATGTATAAGTACCCGAATCTTCCGGATGAATATGCAAGAATTCAAGGCCTACGTAACCAAAATCATGCATAGTTCGAATACGCGATCCGAACATAATCGGATAACCATTCAGGAACCATTCAATCTATAAAAATCTTTCATTAACCAAGAAATTTCTCAACATTTTTACGCAGTAACTATATTCAAAATTTTCATGTAAATTTGAAAATTTAAGTAAAGCACATTCCAATTTAACAAAAATGAATTATAATGCTACCTTCAAATTAGGATCATTAATTGGCTGCACCATACAATCCATATGTACTGATTGTCCTTCTCTAAGGACTTCTTTAGGACCGTTCAATGGTTGAGTGAAAGATGGCTTTTCAGGTATTAATTCTTCTTCAGATGGCTTTGCTGGTTGTACTGCTTCAATTTCTTGAATTCGTCGTAAGCTTTCCGGATGTTCGGTATCCATATAAATATTTTTCAATCGTTCTACATCAAATTCTGTGCTCGTTTCGGCGCGACCTGAAATATAAAATAAAACTAAAATACCATTTCACATTTATTCTGTCAAAACTATTCGTCAGTACATTAAGTTGTTGCTTCCTAAAACAATGATTAAAGTGAACGAGTAATTACCTTCAGGATTTGTGACAAGCAATGTGTACACTCCGGCATCTTCAGCGATGACATAATCAATATCCAAAGATACGAAACCAAAGTCATTCATCAGGCGGTATCGACTACCAGCTTTTAAAGGATGTCCATTATGAAGCCATTCAACCTGAACATATCTATTTTAGAAGTTCGCAATTTTTTACTTGGCTATTTTTTTCAAAAGTTCTCAAGCGATCAAAACTGAGTGACAGTTTGACTCGTAATTGGTTTGTTTGATTTAAAGCTATCTCAATAATAACTGATTTTAAGGTACTTCAATGAAAATTTCAAATTTTGTTCATGCTTAATTACTTTCATAATGCAGTTTTTTCCAGTATTTCAAATATGAATTCATCTGTCAATGTTGAATTGCTAATCTTCCGCTGTTACTTTTTACTTTTAATCTTCTTCAGAATCGTTACATATTTAAGCTAACATACTGCTTACAAAACAATATAACCTACTTTAAGTTGATTATCATCAACAGGTAAAATTTGCGCTTCTAAATGAAGTGTTTGACTTTCATGCACATTATCCAGTTGTGTTGGCAGAGCTCGTACAATTTTCGGTGCCATTCGTGGCGCTTCCGGACGCTCATCCGGTAACTGCAACGGCATTTCCAGTTCGCGAATACGTTGTACTGAGTTAGGATGAAAGGATTCCGTTATCTGAAAAAAATTGAATTATGAAAGTGATTTCAATGTAAACAAAATTTGGAATTTCAAAATAGCTTGCAATCAATCCAAAATTAATAGTTTTGTATAAATTCGTCTATAACAGCTTATTAACAATGGACACCTGCACTAATTATTAAACATATTGAGTGAAAAAAAATCTCCTCATGCCACCCAAAATTAATATCAAATTAAAAAAAAAAATATGGAATGCAACTTCTCACATCGAAAATATTAATTAGAAATAAATAAATAAATCCTTGAATAAATTACAAACCATGCTTCCTTTAGCTTTACAATCAATATCAGCAACAGATTTTGCTTCGCCAGCTGCATTTTTTACAATCAGAGTATAAGTACCACTATCCTCCGGATACATATATAAAATATTGAGTGCAATAAATCCAAAATCATGAATAAGCACAAAACGGTGAGCTTTCATCAGCGGTCTGCCATTTAAAAGCCATTCATACTAAACAACAGAAAACTGATTCAAAAACATTTCGAAAAACTAGAAAAAATTTTCCTATCGAACTGCATTTCTTTTTTTTTGTTTAACCACCACCGCCTTATAAATTGTGAAGCACGAAGTGGGAAAATTCCTCATACTTCAGCTTAGTTCTTAATTGAAAAAAAAAGAAATGACAAACCGTTAATGAATTATCATCTACAGGAGTGATTTGCGCTCCAAGATAAACGTTGTCACCTTCAGTAACGTACATCATTTCACCGATACCAATATGTTTGATGAATTTTGGTGCCTATAAAAAACTTTTTCCTTTGCTAATAACTTTATTGAATTCGTATTGACGAAAACACTTTTTGATTAATAGTCACAAAGTCTTTGAAGTCAAACAGTTGATAAAAGTTTATCAACTGTGTAAAATCAAAGTTCCTTATGATAATAGCTAGAAAATGTTAAGGCCAAGTTTTAGCTTCTATGATAACTTACGTAAAAAGGCTTAGATTGAATTGGTAATATCACACACACAAACTTTTGGTCCTAACTTGAATTCATTCTTGCATTAGCAAATATAAGTTTTTAATATTTCTTTCATTCAATAATAAATTAAGAATTACAAGTACTTACTTCTTTTATTGCGTCCGGAATTTCTTCTGGAGCTGGTTTAGGTGCTTCAATTTGTTGGATTTTGGCAACACTGCTTGGATGCTGTGTTTGGCCAAGAATACGTTCTTTGTCTAAAGTTATGGCTGATTATTTGCTTAGCAACAAACATCGATGTCATGATATATCAGTGAACAAATTAAAAGACAAAAGAAGAATACCCTTGCAAGTGAAAGTAATTGATGAATCTGCTTGTCCAAGTGCATTTTTTGCAACACACGTATATGTTCCAGAATCTTCAGCATACACATCCAAAATATCCAACGAAACAAAACCAAAATCATGGAAGGTACGGAATCTATGTCCTATAAATTAATCGTGTTAAAGCAAAAATATGAAAGATTTCATTACAAATCAATTGTTATTGCAAAAATTTTAAAGAAAGTATATTAACCTGTCGGAATTGGCTTTCCATCTTTTAGCCAGTTGATAGACAATGTATTATCATTTACTGGTGTTATTTGACATTCGAGATGGAGCGGTTCCCCTTCTTCTACTTCACCAATATCACCAGGCAATGGCTTTATAAAACATGGCGGTCCCTAAATGATAAATTTTAATCATTAGTTATAAATTATTAACATATTTATTGAAATTTCCACATTGTATAATTTCGAAAAAAATTCACAAGCTGCTTTACACAGAAACATATTTCTCACTGATTTGTTTAATTTTTTAAATCTATTAAATGCCTAATAATACGTTGGTACTAAATTTTCATCCTACTTCAAAAAAAAAGTTCGTTTAAATCTGTCAATTTCTTATAACAAATCGTTTCAAGATTAATTTATATGTTCATGTAATTTCGTTCGTAAAAATTTAAAGGCGTTATTAAAAATAATGATTTTTTTAAAACATAGTATGAGTGATTTCTTAGAATATTGAAATATATATTACCTGTGGGCCTTTATCTTCCACCTCCTGCCGGCCATACTTGTTCAAGTTTTCGATTTGATGAATTTTACCCAAACTTTCTTGATGTTGCGTCTCAGAAAGTATAGTTGCATGCGCTAAAAATAATCTGGCTTTCGGTTAATTTAGTTTTTCCAGTTTGAAAGTTTGCAAATATTAATTAACTCCAACATCCTACCATCGTTTGCTCTCCATTTTTAATTTCAGAAAAAATAATAAGACTAACGTTTTACAGTTACTCGGCATTCCCTTGTTCCTTCACCAAGTGCATTTGTTGCTCTTATGGTATAAATTCCAGAATCCTCCGGAATAACACCACGAATGTCAGCTATCAAGAAACCAAATTCATATTGAGTTCGGACACGAGAACTGGCCAAAAGTGGACGTCCGTCAACGTACCATTCTACTTTCATCGTAGGATCATTCATTGGTTCCAACTTAAATAAAATTTATTATATTTGAAATTTAACATCCAAAACGATCTAAATTTTTCATCATAGCATTAAAATTTTCACTTACCTTCAAAGCAAAGTGAATGTTCTCATTTTCATTCAACTCCAAATCATGCAAATCTCCGATGAATCGTGGCTCATGATCACATTCACGATCAGCTGGATGTTCCAGTGGACGAATGCGACTTTGTTCCAACTCCTGAATTCGATCCAGTCCTGTAAAATGAATAAAAAATTGTCAATGAATTACATTAAATTAGAGGAGAAAAATCGAAATTCCACTAGTAATTTAGAACGTTTTCTTTCACAAAAGATGCCAAACTTCTAATCACCTTCCGGATGATGAGCATCCAGGTAGAGAGATTTCTCCGAGTTGACGATCAGTTCGAGATTTGATTGCACTTCACCTAACTCATTCCTGGCAATCAATGTATAGATTCCAGAATCTTCGGGGAATGCATAGAGAATATCCAAAGCGACATAACCGAAATCGAACATTGGCTTCAGCCTATGAGCTGCTGGTAAAGGTGCACCATTATGATACCTGAAAATGTTTAATTTTTCATATTACTTGCAAAAATTAAAATGAAAATTTCATTGAAACAATGAAATTCTGGAAATAAAAAAACATGATTGGGTGAAATTTCATTTGATGAAATAAAATCAAGTGAGAATAAATGCGATATATATAAACATAAGAATCCAGTAGAATAGGGAGAGCTGATGCAAACAACACAAAAATCCTATTGTTACTTTGCGAGGCTTTCTATAAAATTCCAAATTAACGTAAATAAATATAAATTTTTCATAAAATTTCAACTTTTTAACTGCATTTTCATGAAATTTCAATTTTTTGACAAGTATCCAATAATCAAAGTTATTTTGAATTCATTGTAAGTTTACAAAAAATGCAATTTAATTTTTTTTTAAACGAAAAAGAATATGTGCCTTACGGAACGATATTTGCTTACGGATAATTGAATGCAAATTTAATTAATGAATCGTGTAAAATTACCATTCAACAACCATTTTTACATCGTTTGCTGGTTGAATTCGTGCTTCGAAATGCACTGGATCATTCTCGTTTACTTCAATACGACTTTCTAATTGACGTGCAAAA